CTACTATAGCATAGACCGATGAATTTTAAGGTATGCTACAAGAAACGCACCTATTACGGGTATTATAGCTGCGGTGCAGTAGTAGATAATGACTTTTTTTATTTTTAAATTATTGTATTAACACTTATGATTCTGAGTGATTGAACTTTAGGCTTTAATATTTGTATTTTTTTATATAAAGTGCGTTTGCTAYTTGCGCTAATTTCACATCACATTTCAACATTTCAGCTTTGCAAAAAACACACACATTCTATATTTATTTTTTATGATCGGCGAAGAAAAAATACCCAGCGCCCAACTTTTCTGTAGAGGCAGTATTTCTGTAAGTAACACAGACATTTTTGGGTTGTGGTCACTAGCTGGAGCGCAACGCTTACGCCTACGCTGGCACGCTAACACATGAGTTCGCCACCCCGCCAACGCCACCGTCGCCGCTASTCGGTTAGTAGGTGGCTACTAAAAGGCAAATACACAGCATAGAAAAGCAGCGMCGAAAGCGTGACTATAAGAATGGCAACAACTCACTATGACTTCATAGTTACGCATACAAATGAAGCTAATGTGATCGCATATATAATATGCATGTGTATGCGTGTATAATATGTACACATGTATGTATGTGAGTTGGCATAAATATGTGTATRTCTCTCAGACGTTTGTACGAGAGGGATTATGTTGTTTTAAATCATAAATACGCTTTTATTTGTTACAGTAGTTACTCACACGTTGTAAATAGTTTGATATAACAAAAACAATATTTATACATTTTTCAAGTGAGAGAAACAGGTCTTAGGCGGGTTAAAAAATAGCGTTTTTCAAAAATTTTTTCTCATATAAAAAAAAAAAATTTTATTAAAATTTTTTGTTGTTACAAGCATACACTATATTAAAATTTCAGAGAAAATTTCGGAACATTTTTTTTCAAATAGTTGCAGTCGAAAATAAATCCTTCGTCCAAGTCTTTGAGAATTATATCTCAAAGAGCTGTGTAAAATTTCATGAAGATCGGTTGAGCMGTTCTCGAGAAATCYTGCCAACCGACYACAAAAACATTGTTTCGAAATAAACGTATTTAAAGACGGCWCACTTATTCTAGCTAGCCACAGCACAAGTTCTCAAGGCCATATCTCCGAATCTATTGCTCGGATCTTAATTTAGGATAATATTGTAGATGTGTTGTAGAATTTAATAGGGCAATAAAAAAATTTAAATTTTTGTAAAACGTAAGCCTCAAAGAGATACTTTAGTCTAAAGCACCGAATATCGACTGTTTCTTGGCAATTGATAAAAAAGCAATAGAGATATTTGCTAACCATTTTTTTTTTTTAATTTTTTGGTTATTCATACTACAAGACGACACAAAATAACTTAAAAAAATAAATACATAAGTTTTCACAAAAAAATAGAAAAAAGCGAAAATTGCTGTCAGATTTAATAACCAATATATGACCACTATATAACCATCTTATAACCAATAAATCGAAAATCGATGTCCAATATAATAATCAATATATAACCACCATATAACCATTTTATAACCAAAACTCAGGTTTTATTTCATTATAAGTGCATGATAACCAATATATAACCATTTTATAACCGAAACTCAGGTTTTTTTTCAATATTATATTTATTTATATTGTTTTTCCTTCACCTGTAAATTTATGAGCCTGAGTAGCCAGTTCCCTTAGTTTACAGGTCATACTCAAATAAATAAATATATTATACTTAAATATTGGCTGGATCAAATTCGTGCGCGATTACTGTAAATATGTATGTGAAATTTGCTTTTAGAGCGAATAGTTAGTTGTTTGGCCCGCTGGCAACATTGTTGTTGCCTAAACATGTAGTTTCTAATAGCAACGGCAATAAGTTAAAGTTTTCAACAACAATACACTAACAACATATATTATATGTATATATGTATGTATGTCAATATATATAAAAACATTTAAGTATGTAGGTACAAGCGGTGGCATATAATAAGGTTTATAATGAGCGTGTAAAGAACTAGTCGCCAAACATTGCGATGAACAATAAATGAATATCAAACAGAAAGCAAAACAAAAACAAAATCCAAAAACAATGCCAAACAATGCTATCACGGCATAGTACAAGTCGAAGTCGTCGCTGCCTGAAGAGCAGCACATCAAGCAACACAGCGAAGAATCAACTGACTAAGTGGCTGCCGCTGATTTTCAATGTGTATTTTAAGTAGGGCTGTGTGTGAGAAGYGGCGAAAACAAGTTGGCAGCTTTTTGACTTTTGTCATCAAGCTTTGCCTTCACACACAGCCGCTTGCTGACTTGAATGGTAGCATGGAACATGTTTGTGTTTGTGTGTGTRTGTGACTTGAATGGCAGCATGGAACATGTTTATGTGTGCGTGCGTATTTCGCGCCTTATTGTTTCCTGTTCCCTTCGCTGTTTTGTTTTGTGTATCACCGTTTTTGTCGCTCTCACGTTTGCTCAATCGCTCTCTTGCATTTTGTTGCTTTACCGCTGTTGCCATTTATTAATTTGATAAACAGACACAGTTGTATACATCAACACACAAGTATACGAGTACATATGTATGTACATCTGCTTGAATGTATCTTGTCGGTGGTTGAAGAACGCTCGAAAGGTAGACGTGATCAAAACATTCGAATTTGCTGTGCTGTTTTTTCGCTTTTTGACATCATCTTCGCCGTTTTATTTTCGTGCGCTGCTCGGTTTTCGGTTCTCTTTATCCAAGCGCGTTTATTCTTTGGCAACATGTAGCCGTTATTAAAGCGCAGCTTTCGCACAGTTCGCTGCCGCCGCAATTGTTGAAACTAGGCTTTTCAAACATAACTGGTTTGTAGATATGTATATCATATGATTAAAAAATGTTATTAAGRCAATTAAAAACTACTAAAAACATACTTTTAGGTTATGACGGTTTTAAGCAATGGAAAAGAATATTATAATGATGTTACAAATTACGAAGTTCTGAACGAAAAAAGCATTAGGGTGAGCCTAACTTCATTTCAACCGGAGTTTCAAAAACATAAAATATTATAAGCACTGAATTCCGCTCGTTCAGTTTATATGGTAGCTATATGTTATAGTGTTCCGAACTGAACAGTTTCTTCGGAGATTTTACCATTGCCTTAGCCAATAYTCCATGCCAAATTTCTTGAAGATATCTTGCCAATAAAAGAGTTTTCCATACAAACTCTTTATGCCGATATTGCAGTTTGTATGGTAGCTATGTATTATTGAATATTGAATTTTCAATTGTTCATACATTTTTTTTTGATGACTCATGCCCAGCTCTTGACCGATGCTACGGCTGCTACTATGCCGGTCTCTTTAACCAATTCAGCGATTTTATCGCAATTTTCGACGACAGGCCTTCCGGAGCGTGGCGCATCTTCGACCACCTCTACACCAGAACGAAAACGTTGAAACCATCGTTGTGCGGTGGAAATGGAAACTGTATCGGGTCCATAAACTACCCAAATTTTATTGGCGGCTTGAGATGAATTTTTGCCTTTATCGTAGTAGTACTGTGAAATATGCCGTATTTTCTTTTTATTTTAACTCGTGTTAGCGCGTGAAATGAGCTTTCCAAAAAGGTATAGCATGACCCCRTGCGACGAATAAAACTAGAACTACGCGCTCTCAGCGCYKACTAGCGAAAATACCGCAAKACTTTTTTGACAASCTAATATATGTAATAGTGATATTTCAAAATTTCAGACCGATATCTCGAAAACTGAAGGATTAGTTCGAACAGACTGACGGATGAGGAGGCGGACGGACAAGGCTGATCACTTACATAATATTTTATAGTCTCCGACATTTCTTTCTAGGTGTTACAAATTGCRTGCTAAACTTCTTATGTGTTCAGTGTATAAAAATCCTTTCTCTCTAGGTAAGTAAGCAACTTGACTTCTATTAGGTGCCAGACCACAAAGGCATCGATGGCAATAATGAAATTGTGGAYGAGATTGCTAAGAATGGTGTACGGCTAATATCCCACAACGTGATCAACATTGGGAAACCCATGCATTGTCCCTATGACGATCTTGACAGAAGAATAGTGAAGAAAATCAAAACCCGATGGGACGAGCTACCTGGGTGTAAAAGTACCACTGCATCGAAAGGGAATACTAACCGATAACTGCCTGATGG